CTAACAGTACACACTGCGGGCCCTGGCTGCAGGCCCCCGGCGCGGGTCTGGCTGGGGCTCGGGGAATTCTCTCGGGAAGGCCGGGTTTCCCCCCGTCTCACCCGCCTGCGCTCTCTCCCGACCCCCCAGAGGCGGCGTGCCAGGGCGAGGTGGTCCGCGAGGTGCTGAGGAGGCAGCAGGGGCTCAAGACGTGCACGTCCACCTCCAAGGTCCCGCGCGTGGAGTGCCCCAGCGCCTGCAGGGGCGGGCTGTGCTGCGCGCCGGTCAAGACGCGGCGGCGGAGGGTGGTCTTCCGCTGCCCCGACGGGCCCTCGTTCACGGAGGAGCTGGAGACGCCCGCGGAGTGCGGCTGCGCGAGGTGCCCCTTGTAACGGGACCCCCAGAGACCCGCTGGAGCGGACAGGAATCTATTGTAAAATAAAATAGAACTTATTTTTAATGAGGGACTTCCTTGTTTTTGTAAGAGACTCTGCAGCTGCGTGTGCCATACGAGGAGTTATTTTGTACCGCAAGAGAAGATTAACATTTTTTAAAAAATTATATATAAAATGTATAACCTAACCTCCGAATTATTTTGCTAAAATGTATTGCATGTCTTTGTGAGTGCTGACGGCGGCGCGTGGGGGACTGTCTTGAGCGAAGCGCGCGGCGCTGGGGGTCGGGGTTTTTTGGCCACGCCGCGCCGCGCACGTGTTGGGGCAGCGGATTCCTCCGCACCTCTGGAGAGGAACCACACTCAGCAGGAAGCAAGGACGGAAAAGGACTGGGACACTTTCCTAACCAGTTTGCCCGGCAACAATGGACTTCACCTGTTGAGTGACTTCTCCGGACTTCTGCGCTTCCGTGAAGAACCTGGGACTGCAACTCGAGCGTTCAGCGGCTTTGTGTGGAGACATTCCGCCAGAGCCCTTGCCTGTTGGTGTAGACGCCACCGATGAGCAGGTCCCGAAGGAATCCGTGTCTGGTTGTTTTCTCCACTGCCCCCGGGGCACCTCTCCAGTTTCACGAGGGTTCTCCGAACCGTGTGGAGAAAAGAGGTCCTGGGCTACCGAACAGAATCGGGGGCGAGCGCATTGTTCTGTCCTGCCATAAATGACTTTTATGAAGTATTTTCAGAGTCGTTTCCCGAGGTGATGTTCATTCCTCGTCTGCCTGGTTCATTTGACTGACTGGCCTCACATCTGATTCCCATTCCACCCACAATACTTAAGCACACAGCAGTTGACACACCTTCAGAATACTTGCTTACTGTACCATTTCACTCATATCCTGCAGTCCCCGCTCTCAATAAAGCATGATAATCCAGTTAGGAGTTAGGAAGATGGAGAGAAACTCTGTCCTTGTATTACTCACGCAGTGTATCACATACCCTTAAGGTATAGGGTCACCAAACGATCCATTTTTTTCCAAACAGATTCTTAATGCTCTGCCTGGGAGGAATTTTTATAAATTTAATAAATAAAAACATCTGGGATTTTTCCCTGAAACCCGTACTTTTCTAGATACTGGTGCAAATACCATCCAACCACCCATCCATCTCCTGATTCAGGGCCTAGGGGAGCAAGCCTGTCCCAGCAAGCAGCACCAGGAATCTCCAGTACAGCTCCCACACACACCCTTATCCCCTGTGGAACCAGAGCGTCGGTTCTGTTCTGTGTCTCTAGAACAAGTGCTTTTCAGGTCCAATGTATTCATTAACAGTCTCTGCCAATTTTAAAGTCGGGTTCATTTTCCTGTACAGCTTCTGTCCTTCAGAAGTTCTGTAGTCACTGCCGGAGCGTGTTTTCCTGAAGTATTGGTCAGAAAGGCAGAGATGAATCTGTGTGTTGAGAATGTGGTCTCCTAATTAAGGTCTATTTTTATGGAGGTCATACTTATTAAATCAGATCGTATTTAAAAACACCTAGTATCGGCCAGAGAGACTCTTCTATCACCTGATCCTTTCTTGTTTCTTTTTGCTTAAGTGCGAACGTTTGCAACTGAGTCTGTAGTATTTGTTCCTCCCCGTAACGGAATCTTGTCCTAGCTGTTTAGTGATTACAGAGTTCTCCAGGAGACCGAAATGAGCGTCTTTGACACAGAAACTTTGCGGTTCCTGTTCCAAAAAGGCACCAAGCATGAAATAGACAAAACACATCAGCACCCAATCCAGGGTCTTAGGTGGACAGTCCAGTAGCAGATAACATGATTATCTGTCTGTGCACAAGCATGGACATTCTGTGCACAAACAGGACCCTTCCTTTAGCTCAGGGCACCTCAGTCTGCTATGTTAGAGCTTGCTAATTCACACATTTCTAAATGAGGTTTCCCGTACTAGTCTAACATTATGCCTCCCAAGAGTAGTTTTTGTCAGTTCACCCTCCCAACTTCTTTTGATTGAAAACCGAAGTAGCTGTGATTTGTAGAGGTGATTTCCTGGTTTGAGGAGACGGCAGGACAGCAGAACCACAGATTGTCCCCAGGTAAACAGCCTCTCACCTCACGGTGCGGGTTCAAGGTGTGTGTCTCGGCCTCGGCCTCCTGCCTACCTGCATTCGGAAAACCAGGAGAGCAGTGCGATTATCTGGTCTTGCAGTCTGAGCCTGAAATTCTTCTAAAGACGCTACAGACAATGCATCTCCTGCCAGCAGTTCAAATGTGTGCAGCTTCATTACAATTTCTATCCTGCATATCATTAATGGTGGTTAATGTACCATTGTACAGCACTTTCCATCCCAAACATATAAGACGGGATCCGCCTCCTCCTGCACTGAAGTGACAATCAACAGCCTTTTTGCACCAACATCAGCACCGGCCAGGAGGAGAGGTGAGAAATAGCTTCAGGAATCGAATTATGGAGGTAATTCAGGGAGGCCAGAATGTAAAAGTCCAGGTTGGAATTTAGCCAGGACATCAGGCCTCGCAGCCCTATTCTCACAACCATCACCAGATCTTAAATGACTACCCGGTCAGGACTTAGGTTTAACATCTTGTTCAAATGCCCTCCTACAGCACAGAGTGCCCAGTCACCATACTGGACTCACAGGTGGAAATCCTGGTCCAGAGGCAAGAGCCCCCCCCATCTGGTCCACCAACACCAGCAGCCTGCTTTCATTAGAGGTCTCGCATATTAGCAAAAGCCCTCTGACATGTGACTAGTTTTATAATAAGCCACATGCATATGAAATTATCGTGGCAATATGTTAAATGTTTAGAAATTGTGGTTGACAATATAATATTATAGCCATGTTAATGTGGAACTTATTTTTGAAGTTTTGTGGTTTCATTAAAGATGTATCCTTTTTTAAAAACTTTTTGGATGGCATCTAGAATCAGGCTGATTGTCTACCCTCCAAATGTTTTTTTTTTAAATCAGGCTTGAAAAAATAACATTTTACCTTCAGAAAGGCTGCTCTTTTCACCCCAAAATTGGTTCCATATTTTCTGGTGAGTTTCATTTCCTGTCATCCAGCCCTGTCCGGTTTTCCCTGCCGTTCCCAGGATTATTTACACTTCTCTTAAAACAAGCCAAATTGCTGAAAGATGAGGTGCAGTTTTGACTCTGGCCCAGGTGTGTGTGTGTGTGCGTGTGTGTTTTTTAAGAGCTGGGAATATAAATATACCTCATTGGAAAATGTCTTACTTGAGCCTTAAATCTAAATGTCCTAATTTTAGCATTGTATAGTTTTGAAAGAGGACTTTATTACACGTGTATATCAATGTGTTTTATTAAATGGTGAGGACAGATTTGCAAGTTGATACTTATGTCTCTCAATTGTTTTTTCACATTTTTACACAAGGAAGAAATAAACAGCAGGGTGCCTGAGGACTGTCTAAAGCTGCAGTCCTTCTCTAGGTCTGTTGAAAGAACCTGGGCTGTATGGAAGAGATATTGGCAACACCGTTGCCTCACTTCTCCGGCATCCTGGGTTCGATTCCAGCCTTCGACCCCTCTCTGTGTGGAGTTTGCATGTTCTCCCCAGTCTCCAGAACCTCTGGCTTCCTCAGACCTCCCAATGACATGCATGGTAGACTTCCTCGTGTCCCTCTATGGTTCATCCCCATGGGGAAGGTAAGCTGCATGTCTGACATGTCTGAGTAAAGGGGTATAGATAACCGACCCCTGATGACAGAAATAGAAAGCCTCAGTTTAGAGTGATATATGAAAACTACTTCTGTCCGCCAAATAAAGAACCAGCTGAGACAAACAGTTGTAGCCTTCTTGTACTGCACTGGCTGTACTTCATAAGGTCCACACGTGGAGAGTGTTGGGTCTGCAATATGGAGAGACTGCACACAGACCTCCAACATGGGACCAGCAGTGTCACTGCAGAGTAACTGCTGCATGTTCCCCAGACATTTGTAATCAGACCAGGGTTTGGAATTGGCCTTAAGAGGAATTGCACTTCGTTCTAAATAAAACATGAAACCTACTGACCTATTGAAAACTGTACTCTTGTGCAAGGGCTTTCTAGATTGTGTTAACAACACAACATTGTCAAAGTGCAATGATATTCCAAAGCAATCTCAGTTAACTCCCATCAGCTGTTTGCCCAGTTCGATCGATCTTCAGGAGTACCAGACAGCTGATCAGTATTACAAGTTTACTGCCTATAGTGTCCACCCCTCCAAACATGTGATGCTTATTTTATACATGAATTCCTTTCGGTTTAAAGGCAGGTTTAAATTCCTGTCCTGTCTCATGGTTACCAGGTGGACATGCAGGTCTACAGTATGTCTACCCTGGAGTTGTGCAAGGCCTACACTTTGTTTTCTTACAATTTCCAGACATGGAAAGCCAGGGTTGGAATCTGCTTGTATCAGGGGTATTATGTGGAGTTTTTCCAGAAGGAAGAGAGTATATAAAACTTCATAGGATATGCCTGACACTGTACCCTTATTGAGAAGCAACTGGGAATAAGATGTGTAATTCTACACTGAAGACATGGCATGTGTCCATATTTCTGAGGAAATATCCATAAAAGGTGGCATTCTCTAAAGCACCCATACCTTGTGATGTAGAGGAGGAGTTGGTGTTGATTTTGAGTTACCAGTTTTATGATTATAGCAGCGTCGTGTATTTTATAGCGGAGACAGCACTGCTGCAGTCTAAAAAAAAAACATATGAAATCCCATTTCCTTGTTAACAATCCGATTAGCTCCACACGCTAGACAGCCCAAGCGTCAAACACTGAGACATCGGTAACCATTTCAAACCATCATGCGGTATACACTGGGATTCATCACACCATCACCGCATACCAACGCGACTGAGCCAACACTGCAATACCAAAACATTCACATCGACACCGCCGAACAGCTTTAAAAGTGCGCGAGTAGGGTCAAACAAAACTGCATGAATGTGGAGCAGTAGCAGGGGTCATCGTCATTCCACAGACTGGAGGGAGTGTTGCTGTAACACGTCCTGAAGAGATAAAACCAACACCGAACTCGCGCTGAGGCTGCCGGGTTTAGGGGGCAGCTCTAGGTTCTGGGTGACAGAGGCGTCACTTGTTGGACTAGAAACCCACGCAAGTGCATCGAGATTCAATGTTTCCCCGTCTCCTTCCTCCTAAAAAAAAACTCCTGAATGTTTTAAGAAAATAAAGGCGATCCCTCCCTCAACAAAAAATAAATAAAAGCATTTGCACACGGCAACAATCTCTAAGGATTTTAGGGGTGTGCGCGCGGCCGGCCTGTTGCATGTTTTACAGGATTGTTACAAATAAGTAGCTTTATGCAACGTAACATTTATTACGGATTCAAACATCAACCCACACAGCGGCAATTGTGCGTCATTCTCATACCAGATTGAAACACATGGCATGCCTTACTGGAAATGCTTTTTTTTTGGTTCCGGTGTCGTATATAATTCAGTAACCCCTGGAAATCCGTTATCTCCCTCCCGAAATGCGCCCACGCTCATCCTTCAAGTATAAAATGTTGTCTATCTAGCCAATAAGGACAGAAGTTGCACACAGCCTTTGTGTGCTTTCGGGCTCCCCTGTCTTATGTACAGGCAACTTAAACTTTCATTCTCCTGGTAAAGTTTTATGCATTGGTCTGATCCTTAGCCAAGCGCATTACATACAGTACGCGGATAAACCGATACGAACACACACAAAACCCATGGGCTAC